AGAGAAAAAAAAAAAAAAAAAAAAGGAGAAATACAGTAAACCACATCACAAATTATCCTGCTGGTGAGGCTTCCTGGCAAAAAAAATGTTATCTCATCCCCTGCATTGTCTGTTGTAAACACTGCCCTGCAAGTCAAAGACACAGGAAAACCTGTTGGTTGATGGGTTCACATCTGTTTCTCTTAAGTTGTGCTTGAAAGGATAGTCTAATGTCAGATACAATCTCCCTGAAATTTTATCTGATAAACTGTGGCTCTCAACGACATACAATTGACAATTTCTTGTCCACTGTCCTCAAAGAACATTCTGGGAAACTAAAAAGGACTTGTAACTCACTTAGATACAATTTATATACACAGATGAGCTCAGCTTTCTTTGCACTGGAAAGATGTCATTAATTTTAGAGGTTACTTCCAATGTAAACTAGTTCAATCAAAGCTGTCAAGGCCAGCAGTCAAATCTCCTACTATGTCAGAGGAAGCATAGGCCTCTTACTAGGTATAAAACTCTCCTGGATTTCTTGGCTACAAGACAACCCCACTTTCTCTAGCTGTCTCACAAATTTCAAGGCCTGAGTTGGGCAGTACAATATTTGCTGCCCAGAACAAAACCCTCTATCATCCAGATTCATTGGCTACTTTGGGCTGAAAGATTAGGGTTAGGGGCCAGAATCTATTCCACAATCTTTACATTTTGTTACTGTTTGTATCTCTTGTAAATCCTTATTTTGTCGTCTGGTTTTGCTGTGATTCAGTGTTCTGCAAGCAGATTGTGTGAAGGAAAACTAACCCAATGCTGCATCTTTTGCATTATAGCCTTAGAACTTCTCACATTAGGTAGTAGTGTCTAATGGCAGCAGAATTTTAAGATATTTGTACAGAAAAAATGAAGACTTTGGAAGACTCTATTTAATTTCACAGGTACAAGTAGAAGTAAAATGCCTCATCTATCTAGAAGCAGAGGCACAACCATTATTAAACATGAAATTTAGCCTAGCTCTATGCGCAACAATCAAATGAGGCAATATATTTTGGCATAGAAAGGGGTAAACTATGCTTGCCTTTGACTACACAACTCACCAGGGAGATTTTTGCAATGACTTTGTATTAAGCAATAACTAAGAAGTTACGTACAAAAAAAGTCAATGACTCAAGACTCTCTCTCCAGAGTCCCTGCATCATTTGAATCATTCTCCCATCTGCACCACAGCATCCAGTAGCTAGGTGACCATTGTCCTGGCAAGGAGTGGGCTAACAGCAGCCTCCATACCAGCTGAGAGGTTAGTATAGACTCTTCTAAATATGTATGCACGAGCACAATTGTTTCCAAGATTGCCTATATCCTACCCACTAGAAGATAAAACTATAGTGGAGAACACGCCTGTATCTCATGATTTTCAGGCCTGCGGCTGTATTTGTGCTGTGTGGAGCAGGACTAGTGACAGGAAAGGGCCTGTGGGCCCTCACACACAGATGTACAGAGGCCAACCACAACAGAGACCCTAATGTCTGTATCAGAGCTGAGTCTGAGTCATGAACTACAGAACAAGATTTGGATTCAGACTTCTTCGAAATTAGAAGGGCTCAATCCAATGCACCAACCTGGCTCTACCCATTGGTGAGGAAGTCCAGGTCTCAACTACTCACAGCACATCACAATGTAATGCATTCCTTATCTGCTGAGCATTAATTATAATGAACATGAGTTTCTTTAATTTCTGCCTTATGGCTTGTTTCCTGTATTCTTGGACTTTACATGTAATCAAATTTAAGTATCTTCAATAATAGAAATAAACCATGCCAATATAATGGATGAATATATATATATATAAATCCATTCACATAACATTTATTTTCACTCAAGGAGGACATTTAAACAAAGATATTTAAGCATCTGTTTTAATCCAAACTCACAAGTCTACATTTTTATTGGTCTCCTTTTCATACCGTTGCCTTCTTCAAACTCAAGTTGTCAAACAAAGGAGTCTGAACAGGAACTACATCTGGTGTGTAACGTTCTATACGCATATGAAACCAAGATGAAGTCACCAAGGACTTCTGATGTAAAAATCCGTTGCTATGGAAAAGACCTGAGGTAAAGAGATAATGTTTGCTGAGCTACCAAACCTGCTGAAGACCGGAAAGAACAGAATTCTGTTTAAAATGTTTAAACCAGTCATTTACAAAAATAATACTGTTGAAGATTAGTTATCAGATTACAGCAAGTCTCACCAAAATCAGCTGGAGTTGTATCGGGTTATACAAACCATACTCAAACCATAAAGCTTCTTTTAAAGCTGCTTTCCTGCAAATATCTAAGATTACAGATCCATTATGTGAATTGTTCTCCCATCCTATATTGTACTTCACTTCTGTAAAGCAGAGTCCTTACATAGCCACAGACAAACAGATTTACAACTCCACGTTCTCCCTCCCTGAGAAAACAGTATCTTTTTGCTTACTCTTAGGGATTCTACTTCATTGCCCCCTACCACCATAATATGAAAACATTTTCCCAGAATGAGTTGGCAGGAGGCTGCATAGAATATGGAAGCTATTGACAGCATGCAAAAATTAGAGAAGTCAGTCAAAATTTGTAGGAAGACATAGTATATTTTATTATCCATGTATTTGGAAAAGCATACACATTTTCAAGAACACCAGCTCTTTTGTTTCAAAACTTCAGGCTTATGTATCCAAAAGTTGGTCTGTTTTCCCAAAGGTTGCCCTAATGAAAGATATTATCCACTAAATTAAGATCTGACACTTACAGTCGCAGGCACTGTCAAAGCTGATGAGGCTTAAAATCTACAGGTTCCCTGTGGAAAGCAAAGACACTCAGGCAAACAAGGAGTGAAAGCAAGAGGAATAACAGATTGTAGGCCTGAGAGGCGGAAGACAGGTTGTATCCTCCTCACTTGTCAGAGACGGGCAGGTGATGAGCAAGTTCCCAAGAAAGGATCTGCAAGTCAGGATTGGCCACAGTAGGTTTAACCTTACATGGAGACATCCTGGAAGATTCACCTAAGGGAAACAGGGTGACACCTAACACTGAGAGCAGAGCAGGAAAGGAGAAGCTAGGTGAGCCCTAAGTGTAAAGATGGCAGATGAAGAACCTTCCAAGATGCCCCAGGGGTACCAGCCAAAAATACTGCCAGAGGGGATAACTGTCTTCTATCTAGGTCAAATGCCAGAATTGACATTTTTCTATTATTTTGAAACAAATACTTTTCTTGGGATGGTTTTGCTCGTATCACAGATGGCTTTCACAATGCTCTGTTAAGATGTTCAGTCATCATGAACTTTGATGCAACAACCACAAGGGTGGATATGTACAACAGCAAAGCCTCAGGTCACCACAGCCCTCCTAGCTCTGACCAGAAATAAGCAGGGACATCTGAGCAGTCTGCTCAGTTTTATTTCAGGATTTTTCCACAAGATCTCCTTTATGCTTATACTTTTGCAGTTCAGAGTACGTGCGTGGTTATCAACGCACCTTCCCTGCACCAGCAGCATTCCCCTACAACCAGTCAGCAGCCCCCAGAAGATGTCCTTCCCTGCACCTACACTGCAGAGCATGCTGCGCTGCTTCGCAAAGGACAGTTACTTAGGTTTGAGGCTACTGAGAAAGTTTCTAGTAAAAATATCTGGTGACTGAGTTGTTCAAAATGGCAAAAATGATGTTCAGTTCCTGTGAGTAACACAGGGACTTAGGCTAGAATCTTTCAGATCATTTCAGCTGAATGAGAAAAAACAAGAAAATGTCACTCAAGAACTATTGCTTTGCCAGTTTCCCTCAAAACCAAAATAAGTTTTCTTTAGCCGATCACTTTTTAGAATTGATATAACAGGTTTTTTCCAGCTCTGTGGCAGATGTGGTATTTCTGAAACTACTGGTTTTGTTTGTCTAATTCATATATGGACTTTTCTTTGGTTTGTCACAATGCAAAAAGTGATGCTGAACATTTCCTTCATGATTACCAATATCATGTTTAGGGTGAGAAGAGAATTCATTCCTTTTGAATGTCCTTTGTTCAGCAAGAAGCATGACAAAACTTTACACTTAAATTTTGGTGATAAGGTGTGCTACAATTCTGAGACTCTCCCTTCTTTACCTGCTCTACCCTATCCCGCTCCAAGTTGTTCAGTGAATCAGGTTCAAAATACTACCACCTTACAAGCCAGGACTGAATTCAAAATGAGTGAGAAGCAGTTAAAAAAAATGAATTTAATATATTATCAACCCACTATAGCACTCAGTAGTCCTTAAAAGGCCACTGTGTAATTCCAGGTTCAATATACATTCTGACATCCTCACCTAGGTTTAATTAATATGATTAAATAAACACGCGAATAACATACACATCCCATGAAAAAGCAATGACCTGGACATCTCAGCAGCTTTTCCATATTTATCTTCACAATCCGGGACACTTTAAAATCAGATAGAAAAATGCTATCAATATATCAGTATGGCACACACACAAAGTCAAATAGATCCTATCAAACTCTGGTTTAAACAGTTAAAAGCATTCATTGCCAAACAGCTAGATAAAAAAGAGAACAGTCACAGCTTTATCACACCAGGTCTTAGATATAAATTAAAGGGCTTTTCTATATAAATAGAGAATAGCTTTAGGGATCCAGTAGAGCACAACAAGCTCTTCCTCTTTAAACAACGGTGTAAGATACATACAGATTTACACTCTACACTTGCCAGGACACTCACAGTTTTTGCAAATATTCAAACAAGCCTGAAAAATCAACCCATTTCTAATGAAAATACAGGAAAAACAATTAGTCATTGCTTTGGGAAGCCAGGAAATAACAACGCCATAGCCAAAGCGCACGGGATGTGATTTAAAGTCTAAGAGTGGGATTTGAGGCTCCTGTAGAAATCACACCGAGTTCAGAACAAGCAGAGGGAAGACAGGTAACTCAGGAGGCTGCGAGCGCAACGCCAAAGCGATGCCCGCTTGCACCGCACCTCGAGCGATGCCAGGCACGCTCCCGCTTTGCAACCGCCCCGGTCCCCACAG